TGAATATGGATATTTTTCTTACAAAAACGCATTGATTCGCTACAGGAGGCCTTTGTTCACCCCCCCTCCCCCGAGCCGTGTGAGACACTTTTTTTTGTGGATGGGCACTTTTTATTTCATGTCTTTTGGACATAAGCAATGCCACACCCGCTGAGTACAACGATAGAGCTTGAAAGATCAAAGACAATTTTTAATATAACTCCGACTGGATTCATCTGAAAGAAGAAAGTCATATAAACCTAGGATGATCACTGTCGCCGGAAGTCACCAGCTCTCCATTGAAAATGAATGGGAGCATGTCGCTTTGTCGCTGTGTCTCGCTGGCAGTGTGAACGGGGCTTTACTTAGTAAAGCGTTACTGTAATTTGATTCCTTTTTTGTAACGGAGTAATTTAACCGTTATAATTTTCAAAATAGTAATTAGAGTACAGTTACAAGCCGAGGTCTCTATACATTACTGCCGCGTTACATTGCTGACAGAATGCAGTGTTTTATAATCTAGAGATTGTAAAAAGGATGTAGCACACGCACTGTCGAGTCCAGTGCCAGTGGATTAGAGACCTGCTCGTGGCCCAACCAGTTATTAGGTTTAGGGAGCAAACACTTCTTCGCACAGGGCCATGTAGTTTTGGATTTTGTTTTCCCTTAATAATAAAAACCTTCATTTAAAACCTGCATGTTGTGTTCACTTGTGTTATCTTTGACTAATATTTAAATTTGTTTGATGATCTGAAACATTAAAGTGTGACAAACATGCAAAAAAATAAGAAATCAGGAAGGGGGCCAACACTTTTTCACACCACTGTATATTATTATATATATATTTTATTCTCCCGCATCCCGCACACACATGAGTGTCTAGGCATAGAAATGATTCACGGGACTCCCGCAAAATAGAAAATAAATTGTTATTCATCTATTGCACAAAAGCAACATAATATAAAATATAAACGATTAACAGGTGCAAGTTTATGCAGAGTTTCTATTTAGGCTATAACATGTGTTTGCAGCGTTGAGCAATGCAGTGCTGAAATCTGCGTGCTTACGAATCCTCTCATTACAACACACGAATTGTAGACATGAAAAATTCATTATGCATATATTTATTGTGTTATAACAGAGATTTGTGAGATTGCGATGAACTGAGATGTCTTTTAGAGATTTTAAATGCAGCGCTCTTTGCTGGCATTCTGCCATGCCAAACCATGCACGCAGCAGCCGCTTGCTTTAGTTAAAAATAAGTGTTCTGTGAATATTGATGCTTTAATAACAAATATTTATCGGGAGCATGTATGCTGGGATTTCATAAATTTCATGGAGAAAAAAGTAACGTAACTAGTAATATAACTAATTACTAATTACTTTTGAAATAAAGTAATCAGAACAGTAACGTGATTACTTTTAAAAGGAGTAATCAGTAATTTGATTACATTTTCAGAGTAACTTGCCCAACACTGCTTAGCATACTAGATTTGAGGATGTTTAAAGAGTCACATTTAAATCAAAAGAGGTACTCCAATAGTATCCCATTGAAACATTGTCAGATCTAAAAAAAAAGTACATGCAAAAGATTCATTATGTAGAGTAAAAACCTTATGCTACTCTCCAATAGATTTTACATTAAATTACATAAATGCTAACATTAAATCTACATTTAATGTAAATTATAAGTTGAAATATATATATATATATATATATGCTTTTCCAAAATGAAATTGATCAATGTTATACATGTTTAGAATAAACTGTTAGACAAAGACAGCCATCCTATTATATGAAAGGAGGATTATCTTGCTCTTGTGGCATAAAGGTGGAAGACATTGAACTTCTTTTTCTCAAAGCATTAGTCAAATGTGAGCTTCTATAACAAAAATCAACAAATATAACACCGCTTTAAAATAAGCTTTATTTATAATTAGCATTGTATAAAGAAACATTCAGTTATACATTATGATACATGAGTATTTACATCAGTTTGTCAATTGGAGACTGAACATTAACAGCTTATGCAACTGATGCTGTATGTATGCATGTACAGATGAGACGTCACTGAGGAATGGAGGAGCTATGAACTTCTGTCATCTATAGGAACATATGCAACATAACAAACAGTGTGTTACACAGCTAAGACTCCTGTACCATGATCTCTGGGGCAACAGAATGCTTGAAATTAAAGCTGTTATAGGAGAAACTGTTACCTGTGCAATTTTAGTATTAGCGTCAACAAAACTAAGAAAAAACAAAGACTAAAAACAAAAGGAACCTATAACTCCAATTTATACGCAAGTAGATTTAGTCATTCTCAACTGTTCTGCTTACACTTGCACAATAGTTCACAATATGGCTCAAAATACTTTTAATACAAGTTATGTGTTCACAAGTCTGTCAGTTTTAACTGTCCACCAATATCCCACTCAGTCAAGATATCTCTGAAACTGGCTGTCTTTATCTAATACAGAATGGTAACAAAAACATTAAACTTTAAAAAGAAAACACATAAAATGTTATCAGACATGTTCTGAAAAAGCAAAGTAACTTGAGTGGGTGATGAGATGAATGAGTAAATAAAATTAGGAATCCAGAACATGGATTCGCTAAACATTATGGTCAACTTACTGTTGGGAAAATAAAAGTTCAGTAAACATTATGGCAAGCCCTCATGTAAACTATCATTAAATGCACCGAGCAAGTACCTCTAAATGCATGCACTGACAATGAATCCATGTGACATTTGCCATTAATTAAGGCTCAATGCTGCCATTATGAGTGAGCCATTATGAGTGAGACGGCAACAAATTATGTGATCTGTCTGTGGTGTGATAACCAGTGTTAACATGTAAAAAGGCTCATACATTCTTAGACATAGCGTTTTTTTATGGAAAGCATCATGTGTGACCAGAAAAGTGTTACGGCATAGGCTACATAATAATAAAACAAATTATGCAAAAGAAAGAAAAAAAGGGCTGCCAACTCTTAGTTGCTTCTGTAGATGCAACAGTTTCTGATTATTCGGCTAACCTCACTCCAAGTTAACCTGCCAATGTTCCCCTAAATTGGCAACTTAAAAGTATCTTCACAGTAAATTACAGAAAGGAAAAACAAGCCTCAATGAGGAATTTTAAGCCAACTCTAACACTGGAGGAGAGAGACTTGTGTTCAACTCCATGAAATATTGGCATGTTTACAAGTAAACAAAGTGAATATGAGGATCGCTGGAAATTTTCTATGGTTTGAGGTCTATAGAAATTGTACCTGAGAACTTCTGGCACTCGCTTGTTTCTGTCAAACAATTTGCTATCAAGCACAAAATGTAGCTAATAACTGATCTGAAGAAAAGAAAACAAATCTAGTAAGTGGAAAATTAGGTTGCTCAAGAATCTGAAAATCTATTCTATCATGCCAACCTGATGCCTTTGACAAAAAATGTAAATGCCAAAATAATAGAAAAAAAGAAAGACAATTCCCTTAAACTTGTACATTTTCTTTTCCTAACTAAAGGGAAAACACCTTTTCTGTTCTGCTTAGAATAAACATGTTAAAATAAAAATGTTAGTCCTGAGAAAAAAAATCTAAACTGACAAATCGAGTACAATGCACTTATACATAACGCAGTGAAACTGCACCACTATATGAGTTACTTCAAACTATTTGATTAAAACTAAACCTATTAAAATGTTTAAAAATGCAGATGTGAAAAGAGCAAAGCATAATTTACAACAATAATATAGCAAGTGCAAAGACAAACAAACGTTGAAGCAAAAAATAATAACAGTAGGAAAAAAAAAAATCAAGGCACCAGCAACAAGCATGGAGGTGATATAAAGCTGTGGTTTTATAAGTATAAATCCCTAGAATAAAAAAAAAAACACTCAAAACAACATATGCAAGTGTATATTTCTTATCACTTATAGTTCCAAATGATACATACACATTAATTTATAATCTGCAAATTCTCCCTATTTCTATGCTTGCATTACTATTTCCTATTTCCAG